AAACATGTGGGCTTCAAACGCGTAAACCAATGCGTTAGGCCATGGATCAATCAGAACTTGGGCGCTATGAGCACACAGGTCAGAGTCTGCCAGTCCGGAGTCAGGTTACAGATGCAGAGAGGTTGAAAACGGGAGCGGAATGACTATTTCGGTGTCCCATGGTCCGTGCTTATGCAACAGAATTTAACCATTCGTTCGGTTGGAGGATGACCGTGGTTATACAATTATCTCTATCTAACAGTTCAACCGCGGCATGCGAGGACGTTCACCGCTGGCCTAACGTGAAGTCGTTTACAGTGGGATGGACTTTCGATGCACTTACTTTCCTCTCCTCCTCCCACACCCATATCTTCTATGCCTGATAGGTTGACCACTGCAGACGACGATGTGCACCCTATGCATGGTGACTTAGGCAGCATTTACCACAAGGTCTCTTCCGCCTCCTCCATATGGGTTCGGTATTAAGACGTAGCTAAGATTATCAGAAGCGGTATGAAGAGTAGTGGCTAACACACTTACACACCTCGTCTACGCGTACCACATATGCCCGGTCCGCGCACGATGGACCAGGATTTCATTCAAACAGCCAAGGGATGACTCGGAACTCAACTGAATGGGGCTGTCATAGCAGCCACGGTAAGACGGAACCATTGCAGCCTGACTCTACGTTCCTAGGACCGAGTTATCCGATCAGTTGTCGGACTTTCAAACCACGGCTATTTAGAAGGTCGTTTATAATGAAGAACATGCGTCGACTTCCGCTTAGACGCAGTCTCCAGAGTCGAACTAATTTTCTCTTCCCCTTCTCAGGCACCAGCCTACTCCCCAAACCGGTCAGCCATCTGATGTGGGGGTTAAGCACAATTTGCTGGTGCGGCGCGAGTCTGCTCCTTGGCGTGCTATAACACTTCCTCCATTTGTGGCATTTGTTATGAATACACAGCTTGACTAACGAGTTTGCAGCACTTATCTAGCCCAGTTGTTGGTCGAACGTATCTACCGCGTGGCCCGTTGTAGGAGCAAACTACCTACACCTACTGGTAAATTTTTACATCTCGT